TGAGAACTTCCAAATCATCTAGAATGTTCTCAATTGCATTGCCCTCACTGTTAGCTTTGTGTCTGACTTGTGGTACACCAGAAAAAATAGAGCTTGCAACTTTATCAGCCTCGTTATTTAGAATTTAGATTTCCTTACTCGAGCAATCTTGTCCCTTGAGTCCCCATTTTTTGCAGATATTGCAGAGTGGTGGAAGCCAAGGGTATGAAACATAAATCTCACACGTACAACCATCCTTATCCCGAAAGGATATCTTCTTTACCAGCTCTTTATGAAGATTGACCTCCACAAGATCCCGAGCAACATCCAACCGAAAACATTTCTCTGTACTTGGATGAAGCTTGACAAAATTATCCGCTGCCTTAGATAGTCACCTCAAGCCTATGTGAGAGTAGAGGTTGTTTGGACCCCCCCTTAAATCAACCCACATTGGCATAGAGGATAAGTCTGGTGGATTAGTTGCAGACCCTGGTGACCACACATTCACAAGCAAAGGTATGTCCGCTATGTGCCAGTACTTCCTCTGAATAACCCTGGCTCGCATCTGACTGTTTTCAATCCTAAACAGAACCGTGTTCTTCTCAATGAACTGCACATCAATTCTTGTACCACCCTTAGGATCTGCCCAGATACGATTGAAAGTAGCATGGATTGATCCTACATGGGTGCAACGCCAATGACATATCCAACGACATAACTCTTCCAGAGCAGTTCAGCCTCATCAAAAATCGCATCTGGAATCGCCATAGAAGCAATTCCATTAACAATATCGATAGACGCCTCTGCCTGATCCCCATCTTTCTTTTTCTTCGTCCACGGAGAAGACTGCGTCTGAGACGAAGAAGACACTACACCTCCTTTTCCCCCATCTGTGTCCACGGAGAAGCCTAGAGGTGAGCCTGTCACTTGCATTCCTGAGATACCTTTAGTCTCTCCTCCCGTGCGATCCGATAAGATCTTCTCCGCATTATCCCTTCTCGCCTCCCCATCTGAAATCCCCCTCTCCTTATCTAGATCCTCCCCGCCTGAGTTTCTCCCTCTTCTTCTCTAGATCCGATATCGACCTAGAGACCAATCGAGCTTCTCCATCTGAGTGTGATTCGCCGTCGCCGTCGCCTGGTAGGGTTTCCATCTTTTCGTTAAAATAGTGATTTCCAGTTTTAGTAGATTACAAAGGACGTCTACAAATCAGTAAACATTATTCTAAATCTATCATACCCTAAACCACAAAGTCCGACTCCTAAATGTTTGCTTCATAATCAATAAGTCTAGATTATTGTGTCAAATGTCGAGATATACAAAATATAAACTACTCAACATTAATATGTAAATTTAAGTCACTAATAACTAAAGAAATCTAAATCTAAATTCGAACCGTAAGAATCTAACACTAAAAGACATCACATGTTAGAACATCTTTTGCTAGACCATAACCATTGTCCAACACATAATTACCTAATCAATATAATTTTTAAAATTTTCCAATTATATCATATTTTAATTTATATACCTCATATTAGTTCTTATATTGACAATTTAAAAGAAAATTCAAACAATTTAATTTTACACGCTTTTAGAATAAAATTATAAGATTAAATTATCATGTAGACTTCTCTCTATTAATTGTAGTCTTCCAAAGGATAGAAAGGTAAAAAAACATTCTGTTTTTTTTTTGTTTAGTCATAAGGGGTAAATAGACATTTCCCGACCTCCAAAAGTTAGTTTTATATTTGATTGAATAAGGCGTCTACCTTTGTATTTGAAATGATGATTTGAGTTAGTTTTGGTAAATTTCCCAAAAATATATATATTTAGAAATGTGAAAAATAGTTTTAAATATGAAAAAACTTCAAGAATATATTTATAAGATAAAATAGTAACAAAGTAAATGCTAAAATCTATAGACCTAAAACTTATATTTTTAGAAGGGATGATGTAAATCATGAATGATAGTAACTACAAAAACAAGATAATATTATGGGAAGAAATGAGATAAAATTAAAAAAATTATAAAAGTTTTCTTCTCATTCAAATAATTTGGAGAGAAATAAGAGTGTTTTAGAGAGAATGAGAGAGCTCTACAGAGAAGTGAGAAAGTTTAAGAATTTTGTGCAACTATTTTAGAGAGAGATTGTGTAAATTACTTTTATATAGAGAGAAAAAAATTGTAACTAGGTTAAAATTCACGACACTGTAAATTTGAAAATTAAAAATTTGGACTATACTTTAGTGTAAGAGTACTTTGTAAACTTTTTGGAAGTCTACTATGATAATTTCATTATTTTTGATTATTCTTTATTGTTTAAAATTTATATATATATGATTTTATGATTTCTGAATATTACTTTAAAGATTATATTTTAATTTATTAATTTTTTTAAAAAATTATCCAAGTTTTTTTAATTTTTGTAATCTCACATTGTTTTTAGTTTGGTAGACTTATAGATTATAATGGGTTTTTTTGCTTTTTACTGTTTTAAAATAATTAATATAAATTTAATTTTTAATTCTTTATTATTCTAATAATTTTGATATATGATTTCACATTAGGGTTAAAAAGTTTTGGTTTAAGTTTGGTTAGGTTAAAATTAACTTGGTTAAATCCGATTGGATTAAATTGATACCAGTGAGTAGACTTCTCTTTAAGTTTACAGCGATTATTTTCCCCTTATTATTTGAATTTTAATATATGATATGCAATTCTTTTTTTCTAATAGTTATAATATATGATTTCACATTTATTCTAAAAGAACTAGTTTGAATTTTTAAATAACAATTATTTTATAACCACTAGTTAATCACTACAAGAAAACATGGGCTTAACGACCACATGTTGCGACCACAAAACTGTGGTCGTAACATTACGTCTACGTTACGACTAGATAACAACTAAAAGTTTAGTCGTCGTAAAGTGGTCATAAAATTGGGACCATAAATTTTGGTCATAAATAGGAGGTAAAGTAACTTCCGTTTTATGACTAAATGCAAATGTGGTCGTAAATAAGTGGTTACCCGACAACAATTTTACGACTATAATTTTAGCATCTCATTTACGTCTGCTTTACGTCAAACAGCAGTTAATTCGTAGTAAAATGAATCTGGTAGTAAATTTGTGGTAACATTTCATGTCAAAATTTTCTTATAAATATGGTCTCATCTCTCATTTTTTAGATACACAAAAAAAAAAAACGAAACAAGTTTGAGTAAAAATAATGTCACGAGATATTTATGAGCTTCAAGTTGGATGTATGCACATAAAGATTCTGAGGAAAGGGTGACAAAAAAGTTCCTTAACGGGGCAGAAATATTCATGTATCAGGCCGGAAACACGCCTCTCACACGAGAAACATGTAAAATGTTCTGTCCCTGTTGTAAGTGAAAGAATAACAAATTCGCTCTTAGTGAAACAGTTTAGAAACATATAGTTAATAGAGGATTTACTCCACATTACTACATTTGGTTTCATCATGGCGAAGATGATAGTAGAAATGAAGCTAGTAGCAGTAATCAGTTTGAAAATATTTGTAATAGAGAACATCATTTTCCTTCGGAAGGTTACCTTCAAGAGAATCAGGTGGTAGAGCATGATAGGATGCATGATATGGTTACTGATGCATTCGTGAAACAAACTCAGTAATTGCTGCAGAAGTAGCAGAAAATGTAGAGGTAGCAGTAGAAAATGTAGAGGGGTCTAATTTGGAAGCCAAAAGATTTTATGACATGTTAGCCGCCGAAAATCGGCCAATTTATGAAGGTATAGAGAAGGTGTCGGCCAATTTATGAAGGTATAGAGAAGGTGTTTCTAAATTATCATTTGGCAGCTAGGATGATGAATATCAAAACTGACTATAAGTTACCCGAAGTTTGTATGGATGCATGGACTGAGTTGTTTCAAGAGTATTTGCCTGAAGATAATGTGTGTGCTGAATCTTACTATGAGATTCAGAAGCTGATTCATTGTCTTGGCTTACCTCCGAAGATGATAGATGTGTGTATACATAATTGTATGATCTTCTGGAGGGAAGATGCAGAGTTGTTGGAGTGTCGATTTTGCAAGAAGCCACGATATAAACCGCAAGGACGTGGACGGAATAGGGTACCATACCAGCGGATGTGGTACTTACCTATTTCGGATAGGCTGAAGAGATTATATAAATCTGAAAAAACTGCAGCAGCGATGAGATGGCATGCAGAACATACTCAGAAGGAAGGCGAGATCAATCATCCCTCAAATGCAAAAGCGTGGAAACACTTGAATTCAGTGAACAAAGATTTTGCAAGCAACACTCGCAATGTTTATCTTGGATTGTGCACAGATGGATTTAGTCCTTTTGGAATGTCTGGAAGACAATACTCCCTTTTGCCAGTCATCTTGACGACAAACAACCTTCCACCAAAGATGTTTACGGAAAGGGAATTCTTTTTCATGAGTATATTGTTACTTGGGCCTAAGCATCCAAAGCGGTCCCTCGATGTTTTCCTACAAACTCTGATAGAAGAATTGAAGGAATTGTGGTCAACAGGAGTGGAAACATATGATTGTTCAACGAGAACCAACTTCACAATGCGAGCCGTTCTTCTGTGGACTATCAGTGACTTTCCTACATATGGGATGTTATCAGGTTGGACTACGCATGGAAGACTAGCGTGTCCTTATTGTATGGGAAGCACAAGCGCATTTCAGCTGAAGCATGGTAGGAAGACGTCTTGGTTTGATTGTCATCGGAAATTTCTTCCCATTAGCCATCCATACCGTCAAAACAAGACACTATTCAAGGCAAAAGTGGTTGTACGGGACACCGCACCTCGCTATTTATCTGGAGAGGAAATTGAGAAAAATATTGATTACTACTAGCACTCAAAGCCCAAAGTCACAAAAATAGATTTAATTAATATGAGCATTTTACCATAGTACCCTTTTCTTTCTTTTTTTAATTAAAATCTTTTTTTTTCCTGGAAAAATAGAAAGAGATTGATCACTGATCGAGACGGTGACCACGATGGAAACGGCTTCTCTTATCTCCCGCGTCGATCATCTCTCAGATCCA